GCTGAAGTTGTATTCTGACAATCGTGGCGCTTCTTTGGGCTCGACATGTTTATCGAAGCCACTTTTACTCATGAGCCCTCGCGAGCTTTATCCTCGATCATTCCTTCGATCATTTCGAGCGGGATTATGTCCCGATCTATTATTTCTACGATCTGCGTTGTATGGTTGGTACCGATCTCTGTTTGGTCGGGGCTCTCTGTCGATGTCTCTTTAAATTCTGCCTCGGATCTATTTAGGTAAACGGAACCGGAAGGGGCTCCTAACTGATCATCCTCGACCCTGATCTTTGACTGGTATCAATTATGTACATCGGCCCAGGTCACAGCTGGATATTCAATTAAATTCTGCTTCAGTTGTCGTGATGCTATCGAACTTCGCTCGTTCAAACCTTGAGCGATGGCTTGGACAACCCAATCCTCGGTGATCGGGGGTAGGTCCATGCATTCCATCTGAAATCAAGATACGAATTCCCTTAGCAGTTCATTGTCCTTTTGTCTCACTTTGAAGAGGTCTGACTTCCTAGTTGCGACCTTTATTGCTCTGGCGTGCGCCTTTACGAACAAATCATCAAGCATGGCGAAGGAACCGATGGAATTGGGCGGCAAATTATAGTACCATATCATTGTCCCCTTCGATAAAGTTTCTCCAAACTTATTCAACAGAACAGATTCAATTTCATCATCTTCTAAGTCATTTCCTTTTATTACGCATGTATAAGAAGTGACATGCTCATTAGGATTAGTGGTTCCATTGTATTTGGGAATTTCTGGCATGCGGAACTTCTTTGGAATGGGCTTCAGAGCCGCACTTGGTGGGAAAGGATTCTATACGAACTTCTTCGAATCTAAACCCTTTAGAATCGGGGGTGCCCCCGGTATTTGATCAACCCGTGAGTTGTATTTTTCTACCTTTTTATCATTAGCCTCGATTTTCTTTTCTCCTGAGTCGATCCGTTTAGTGAGCTCCTCGAGCATCTTCATGATGGAGGGTCAGTTCCCGATCTATTATCGTTCGATTTCTCTGGTATAGGTTCGACCCTGTGAATAACTTCCTGCGATGTATCGAGCTCAATTCTGCTTGGTGCTCGATTCTGGTTTAGGAGTTCCGCTATCGCAAACTGCTGAGTCTGCAACATTTCAAATATCATTTGAAGGCTAATCCCACCTTCTTCTTCGATTTGTGTGTTCTGGTCGGCCGGCCGGGCATCTCTGCGGATGCTATTTTCATGGTCGGTGCCTAAATTTCCATGAATGGAAACACGGGAATCAACATCGACTGGATTAACGGCCGGTAGTCCATCGGGATTGATTGGAGGTACTCCGTTTCACGGGGAACCTATGTTCTCGTTCTCGCCATGAAGACCAAGGCCGGCGTCTGTGTGAGTGGGCACTACTTGAGAGTTTGACATGTTGATTCCTGAAATCAAAGATACTTATGAGAACAAGTGTTAACCAATGTGTGTTATGAAAGATTAATACTAGGCAATCACTATTATCCTTAGCCCCACGGTGGATGCCAAACTGTTTACCCTAAAAATCGGATAACAATTAAATTTATAATGTGGTTTTAAGGATACGTGATTTCACCTAGTACCAAGTAACAAATGCAAAGAGTAATAATAGAAATCAACAATGATATGAGGCGAACCAGTGTTTGAACAGAGCTTAGCCCCGAGCGAGTATCCTCGAGCTAGTTGTGCAAGAACAGTTAAAATGCAACAAACTGATAAACAAGAGAATGTAAATTAAAGAGAGAATATTGTATTGCTTTGATCTGCGTGAATGTAAGGTGTTTACAAGATGATTAGGATCCTCTTTATATAGTAGAGGAATCCTATTTATGGTACAATTCAAATTCCGGAAGTAAATCCCATGATTAAAGAGATAACTGCCGCTGATTTGATCTCTTCCGAGATTTACGCCATTATCTCCGGCTGGTCATGAATATCTCGTTTTTCCATTATTGCGCTTTGCTCGAAGTCTTTCATATTTGGTATCGATCGCTGATGGCCTCGATCTCGATATGCACCTCGATCCTTGGACTCGATACCTCGTCTTCGTGTTCTGGTCTGATCCATTACGAGGCTAACTCTCGATGTAGTCCCCTGATCTCGATCAAATAGCACAATCGAGTAGGCCCGATTTTAACCGTATACACTTCTAAAATAACTCCTAAGGTCGTTTTATAAAAATGAGGTCGGGTAATTTTTCCACTTAAGCCTACGAAATTGGGTCTGCGATCACAGACCGGACCACAAAACGAATATGCCGTCCGCAAAGGGGACCGCAAAAATGGTCCCAAAATTGGGCAGGCATGGTCAGGTCTGCGGCCGTTAGGCGGCTCGTAGAACGTTTATGCGGTAGTATAACGCGCCGAAATCTGCCTCTGAAAATCTTCATATTGAATTTGATGTGGCAGTGAAAATTACATCCCTATACTTGTCCAAAGTTTTAATACCTCCCTAAAGCTGATGTGGCAGTGAAAATACTGAGAAGTTTTATTTTGTGTCTCATACAACTAGTGTCAGTTGTATGAGACGCAAAATAAAATTTTCCGAAAATACTTCTTCATTCCTAAATGCGCGTTGATCGTGAAAAAAAATATCAAAAGTGGATTAAATTATACACATGCTATTTTTCTATTGGATTGTTATGGAACTAATTATAATAGTTAATTCTCGGTGGGCCTCCTGTCTTTTTACTTTTTCTTTATTAATATTTTTTCTTTTCTTCTTTCCCTTCTTCTCACCACTCACCAGATGGCTCCATCATCACCTTCAATTTCCCTAATTTTACCTGTTCCATGACAATAAAGTCTTCATCCCATTTAGAAATTCTAGTGAGGCTTTGTCGGAAGAGAAATATATGAGAGACCATGTTACTGTATAAAGAACCTTGAAATCCTCTCTGATCGAAAAAATTTGCCGATGAAGTCCTCCATCTTCTTTTTACTTTTAAAGTTTAGGCTTTGGAGAGGGTTTTTTTAGGTTGGACTAATGGACGAAGAAAGTGGGGACAAGAAAAGGTCGGCGAAAAACTTTTTCCGGCCAAAAGCTTACCGGTGCTTCTTTGTTTGCAATTGAACTTTACAACTTTCATGATCTGGTTTTGATCATTAAACCCAAAAGATTTCAAANTTTTAGAGAAGTACCTTTCCGTTTTAGGAGAAGGTAAGCGTGTGGGTGGGTTGTGGGGGGGGGGGGGGGGCAATGTGAATAAGATCAAGTAAGGAACTTTTGTGATAAAAAAAGAATTTCAAAATTTTTCTGACATGGAAGGTATGTGATGCGAGTGTATAGCACTGCTCCATTCAAGAGTGGTTTTGGGTCTGACAAGGAGGTATTAAATTCACTTAGGACAAGTCTAAGGAGGTAATGTGACGCCTGTAAATAGGTGTGAAACTAATTTTTCCGCACAAGTACATGGTACATCTTATGTATTATCCCATTTATAAATTTTGGTGCATTGTCGGTATGATTACAATGGTGGCCCCATGATAGAAAATATCTGCAAGTACCCCTGACTATCTGAGGTCCATGCTACATGTTGTTTGGCTAAAGTTGTCCAAAATATTACTAATAAATATAATTTTTCTCACGCCCCCCATTGAATTTGTCCTCATTTTTGTTAAAAAAGTTATACTGATATTTAGTATTTGGTAACTTTAAATATGACAATGCCCCCTAATAAACTGTCATATTATCAATATATTTTAATTATATAGCTTGTTATCGCTTTAGATTTCATGATAAATTTATTCGCTCTATGTTGAGTTTATCTGTTATTGTAGATAAATTTATCTTGATATATAAAAAATTTACGTGTTGTCAGCAAACTTAAACTCCAAATTAAAAAATTCAACTAACAACTTATTTACAACACATTACTCATTGATATAATATGGCTTTTATTATTTTTAGCCCGCGCCAGCAATAATTTACATTAGGGGTGGACATAGTTTGGGCAAACCCGAAATCCAAATCGAAATCCGAATTTTTTAAATTTTTGGTTTGGATTTTCGGATTACGGATTGGATTTTGGATTTAATTTTTAAATTTTTTGGATATCGGATTGGATGTTGGATTTGGTACTTTGGATTTTTGGATATTCGAAAATCCAAAAATTCTTAATTTATATTTCGTACGTTATCTATATGTCAATAATAATAAGTTAAATACCCTATCCATTAGATATTATTTCATATATGCAATATTAATTACTAAGATACTGTTAGAATACATTCTATTTGGACATGGTTTTACTATTACTGCTTCTTATCAGCCGTATTAATGTCTCTGTTGCATTTTCTTGATAGTAATTTCATTACTTGAATACTTTATTTGGATGATTGCGGCGAGAATGAGTAACTTTTCAGGCAATTTAATATGAGTACTTCATTTGGATACTAATTTTTGTAAAAAGAAGAAACATGTCAACTTATAAGCTCAAGACCGAGAATTCAAAATATCCAACCCGATTAATCTGAAACCGAACTTAAAAAATCCGGTCCAATCCGAGCTTATTTGGATTGTTATTTCTTCAATCCAAAAATCAAAAATCCAAACCGAAATTCTATATTTAATCCGAACTGCCCGAACGCCCACCCCTAATATATATGCGCTAGCCGAAAAAGTATATAAAATTTGTATATTTTTAGTATATAACATACATAATGCATATATATATATATATATATATATATATATATATATATATATATATATATATATATATATATATATACAGAAAAATATATATTTTCGGCTATTATTTTGAGAGTGGCTATACACTGTCATTTTTTCTTATAATAATATTGCAAAAATTATTTTTTCTGTTATCAAAATCAATTTCATGACGGAAAAAATATTCATATGTGCTACAGGAAAAAATTATATAAAAAATAAACAATTCCTAAAATTATTTTAAAAAAGAAAGAGAGAGAAAGACCAAAAAGTCAATTATTTTAATACCGAAAAGTCAATTGAATCGCTAGTTCAAGTTCTCAGCACCTCACCCACCGAATCACTATTTTCGCATTTCCTCTTTCATTTTTCTTCATCGACAGCTTTTCTCTTCTCACGAGTCAATGGCGACCTGGAAGCTCCCTCTTCTCCTCCTCGGCCTCTCTCTCCTAGCCGTCTCCGCCACAGCCCGACCCTGCAATACCCTCTTCTTCTTCACCTCCACCTCCTATCACCCCATTCCCGCATCAACCCATCCTTCAAACCCTAACCCTAACCCTAATTTCTCCCTCCAATACACTTCCTTGAATTCTCCCCGATTCCTAACTTTCTTCTTCACCACATCCAATCCCCTCAACGGAGACAGCAAGGTCCGATTCAACAAGTTTCTCGGTGGTCGCAAAGCTATTTTCGTCGACCGTATCGGCGGCGAAGAAGAAAATCAGCTCGTAGAAAGAGAAGAAGAAGATGTATCGAAGCCCATGGAGTTTTACTCGGCCGTCACAAGCTCGATTCGTGACCGATCAAAGGATATCATGAGGGTTATGGGAGCTATGCTTTTCGGCGCTGGTTGTGGCGCTTTAACTGCTGCCATGATGTACCTGATCTGGTCTCTGTTCTGGCCCACCGCTTTTGATTTTGAGGAGGATTCCGACGATGATGACGATTTCGATGATGACGTTAGCCCTAAAAAGTTGGGAGGATACGTGATTCTTCCTACTAAGGTTGTCGATGATGATCTGAAGAAGCCGGCTAAGGAGGTGGTTTGATGGGGGGTGGTATCTGTAAGTGCATAAACGGTTTATCTTTCTGGTCATCTATGAATCCATGTGAATGCATATTTTACTGTTAATTGTACTGAATATTATGAAAAGGCTTTTAATTGTACTGTGATTTCACTTTGTCATCCTTGTGTAAAATACACTTGATGATTTAAGGGAATCCGTAAGTTACTGGTCACCAAATGTTACGGAGTAGGTCCCTTCTCCATTGCATTGGATTATATGCTGTATAAGTTATTTACCTTATCAACAAAAGTTTTACTGCATAATTGTGTTTACAACAACAACAACAAACCTAGTGTAATCCTACAAGTGGGGTCTGGTGAGGGTAGTGTGTATGCAGACCTTACCCCTACCTTAAGAAGGTAGTGAGGCTGTTTTAATTGCGTAATTGTGTTTGAAGATTTACATTTCATTAAGTTGATCTTATTTATTGTTTGTTTTGAATGTCTTGTGACATGCACCAGTCATTGTGTTTAAGAGGTTCGTTACAAGGTAATGCTCGTCGCAGAAAATGATACTTGTGTGTTCTATTTGAATTTAGTTTGTATAACGGGGATGATGCCTTACAACGTATCATTATATTCTCTTGTGGAACTCTCTAAAGTGGCTGTAAGTTTTTCCATACCCCAAAGTTTGTAGTTTCAGCAATGTTGGAGGCTTGCAGCTAGTTTTTGTAGAGGATGCTCTTTACAGTTATGGGTGATGAATTCTTTGATTTGAAGTGCTCTCCTGGACAGAGCATGTGTTTGACAACTACAACAACAACATACCCAGTATTACGTTACTAGTTATACAACTCTGCATTTTACTAATATAGGGTGCTTGGTTTCTAACTATTTCACTCTGTATAATTGATACAAGAATCTATCTCTGTGTTTTAATAGATTGTGGAATAAGAATACGTGTATTAGCGATATGAGGATTAAGCTCTTGACTTTTGTATCGCAATCTCTTTATAACAATCTTATGTTTTTGTTCACATCATAACAATCTAATCTCTGTATTACCAAACAATCTATTGGAGTATTCTGTTGTGTATCAGTTCCTTGTCAAGACTTTTTGCTCATCCATCACTGTACGTCACCCTTTAACAACACGGATTGCGGAAGACTTTAAATTAGAAGTTTGAAAGAGGGAATGATTGATTCTTGAAAGAAAAGAACACAAACTCAAATATTTCAAATTTGAACCATTGAATGATAAATAGAAAAAGAAGAAGAATATGACGGAGGAAACTCAAACAAGGAATCTTACAATTGAAGACTTCAAGTAATGGTTCAAAATAGAACAAAAAGGGCAAACCCCAAAGAGAACCTTACAAGGTCTCTACAAAGCCAAAGGCTACTAGTATCAATATTAATCTTCAATCTTAGTTACAGTGAAGGAACAAGGCAACCTCTTATATAGTAGTAAAGAAGGGGGCTGGTCGAAACAAAAATAAATAGGAATGATAATCCTTAGGGGCATAGAAGACTGCCCACACTTTGTTCAATAAGCTTTAAAGGGGGTCAACCTAGAATAATACACACCTTAAATATAAATTCTAGAAACTAGGTTGAAATAACACTAAAGTGGGCTGCTGTAGTTGCTCCATTTTGGGGTGGATTTGGGCCCCATTTCACCTCCTCTTGGATTCCAATTGGCCCTCCAAATAGTTATAAGACTTGGCCGAATGTTCTTCCTTGGGCGGAAGCTCTTCTCCCACCATAAGACACTTTTTAATTGCTAATTGAAGCTCATTGAGCTTGTCTCAAAACTTCTTTGGTTGAGATCTTGTCAAGGGCCTTCTTGGAGCTTCTAAAGCTTCATCCTTGTCCTTTAATTTCATTGAGCTTCCATGGTTGCTATCATTCTCCCCTTCTCAAAGAAGATTTGTCCTCAAATCTTGATATTGATAATATTTGCTCCTCCAATGGAGTTGAGCTTATATAATGCTATCACTTAATGTGACTAGCTATTTTTCCCACCACCGCTCACGTTAAAAATAATTCCAAAATGATATTAGGTCCCTGGTCGTAGTATACTTGCGAGTATCCTGGCACGATGGTGGAACATCTGGTATACTTCAATACCACTAACTGTTGAATGAGTTATATTTATTGTATATGAGGCTTCCTTCCAGATTTCACTTGAGCTTCATGAAGCAACCACACCTATATAGACACTGACAAGGTTGTTGAGCTGCATCTTTTACTTGTTTGTGTGCTATGTGCTCTTTTTCTAGTTTTTTCTGCCTTTCCCTTTCAGCTGGTTTGCCTTTTTGCCCTATTTTTTCTTTTGTTCTCTATTTTCTTGGATGACTTTTTTTTTATTAAATTATGTCGGCTGTGATTTTGGAGTATGCATCTATTTAGTCAAATCTTGAGTTGAGCTGTAGTTGGCAATATTGTAAAAGAAATCTCCTTTTGGTTGACTCATTCTGCTGTCGATGGTGACCCTGTTCGATATTTAGTGAGACATTGTGCCTCCTCTCTGTAATCTTTGATGATTTTGTTCTCGTTCAACTCAAGGTCTATGGGTTTTGCAATGTAGTTGTAATTAAATCATGGTGATGTCTTCATGGAATGCACTTTGTCTTGGAAATTATGGAGAAGCCTATATATTTAAAATGCTCTAGCATGAGGATATTGTTTTAGTTTATTTTGTACTTGCCTTTTAAAAATGTATATTACGGCCAGAATCCAATTCAAGTCCCCAAGTTGCAGTGAACTCTATTATTCGTTTCATTGTTAGCATTTTTATTTTCTGTCTTAGATTTCATCTCTGTTTAGTTAGAATTTAGAAGTACCATGCAAGGGATACCTGTTTAGTTGGCCTAGTGTGGAAAGTCTACTTGTCCTAACAAAGTTTGAACTTGAGCTAGTTTGAAGCTATAGCCAAAAGTTGGGTAAAAATGGATTTCTTTTCTTAAAGAATTTGGCCACAAGGAGAGAGTTCACCCGTTTTATGTTGGAGTTAAGTTAATGATAAAGAGCTAATACATGATGGTTTGACAATGGTAAGTGTATGAATTGATAAAAAAAATGTCATGAAAGGGAAAATTGATCATTATTGGATGGGTATTGGGATGAAGATAAACCTACTTCCCTTATTTTATGTTGATAGCTCCCTCGGACGTAGCCGCTTCGTTAAAAGGCTGAAACACATTGCTCTTTGAGGAATTACGACCATCTTTAGGTATTCCTAATTTCTCTTTGTGGTGGCTTGATAGCTCAATGCAAATTGAGCCCATTTCACCTTAAATGAGATCATCGTCTCGGTACTACTACGTAATAAGTTAAAGGGTCTGACTATTTCATAGAAAAGGGTCAAACTTTGTCATATGGGATATTAAAGTAATTAACTTAAGAATGGGGAAAGGTGGGAGAGGACTGGATATTTTTGCACAGATACGTGGATGATTTGTTCTCGTTAGTGTAGTGCTTTTGTAAATCTTCTTTTTTTTTTTTTTTTTTTTTTTAGCAATGAGATAACAGTTTGCTTCTTTGGATTTGCTTCACCAAATATGGTTATGGTTCGAGAATTCCTTTCCCCAACTCCCCCCCTCTGCCACACCATCTCGAAGAGTAACATTACGTTTTCATGTTCCAATTGAACTGTCAGTACAATAATTGGCTATTCATGGCCCAACTAGGCCTACCCTATCTTTGTTTTTCTTTTTTATCAATATAAAATGTGGTTCATGTTAGAGTTGCTTTTTGAAGAGCACTGTGTGATCAATAGTTGTAACCAAGGCATGATTGTCACGACATTTGAGAAATACTATCTCCGCGGTTACTGTGAGTTGGATGAATCATTGTCTATCATTGTTGTATGTGTATACAAACTAAAGTTTTTTATTTTTTATTTTTTATTTGGTTAAGAATAGTTAATATCTTTGGTTAGTTGAGTTTTTTTTTTTTTAAATGAAGATATAGAAAAAGAAACTGAATTTCAATTATTTGGGGTTTTTTTTTTTTTTTTGCATGAAGGCCTTAAATAGGTAGTAGATGATCTTCTTTGTTCTTTGTTCTCAAATAGCACTAGTAAAACAAATAATAATAATAATAATAATAACAACAACAACAACAACAACAACAACAACAACAACAACGATAATGACCTTCTCAGACAATGATTTCTGAAAGAGGAATATGTGTAAATAAAAAGTCCGAGAAATTTTCCAAATAAGTGTTCAGAGTTGAAGGTGGAAAGTCAGACACATTCGAGATGTCTGCTGTAGAAAAATATGGAAATCTTTAGGAACGAGGCAATTATCATCAACGGTTGGTTGATGCATATGATCTTTTCATCCTTAAGTTTCGGGTTCGAGTCCTGTGAATAAAAAAAATTTCTAATAAGGAGTGCTCACATTTAATTAAGTTTATATGGTGCGAATCCAAACTAATTAACGCTACTATGCGGATATCGAACCTCGGTGGGAAAACAAAAACAACAAAGGACAGTAAGAACTGCGGAAGCAAATTTCTTCTCTCTATCAAAATCTATTTTTCTGGTTGGGACATAAAGTTGCAAATGCATTGAGCATTCCTGCCGAAGTTGTCAAAAAAACCGACACCCCCTGCTTTCATGGCATCAAAATCATCATTCATATTTTCATACCATGCCCAAACCTTAACCTCGCCAAACATCAAAATCATGCCAATCACAAGCCATATTTTGTTTTGGATTTGGAGACATTATCAATTACAACTGCTTCATGACATTTCTAGATAATGATGATGTTTATAAATAGGCCAATATTGCACTTTATCCTAAAGTCTATATTCTATTCAATTTTATTTATACGAGATTCTTTTTTCTTTTATCTATTTAGAAAAAATTGACATCTTTTTATATTTGAAAATGTTTATTTTTAGAGGTTGCATTTCACTTTATAGATTATAACATATTATTGTAGGAACAATTTCATATTTTGAACACTGAATAATGATAGCAATTTTGATATGATATAAATTTTTAATTTAGAGGGTTATGTTTACCTATGTCCTCATTTACAATTTTCGACTTGAGTGAGACAAGTAAACCCTTTTTTTGGGCATAAAGACCTTTATTGAAAAGAAATCTAATAATGTCGTAGACCTTTATGCCTCTTGGCCCTTCCTACTTCCTCTTTTACTAGCCTTCCTCAAATCTCTATAAAAGCATTCTTTATATATGATTTTCTAATTAACCTTGAGTTAGCCATTTTTCCTACACATATTATAATACTACTTATTTATTCGTTTTAACTAAAATTTGTTATTTACCAGGACTAACTAGG